CAAATTACTTATTATTTTCAAACATTCATGTTCGTCTTCATAACGGCTTGAGACAAACAATTAGTCATTTATTGATATTGGAGAAAAAATTTTCCTCATCAATATTTTCCATTCGTTCTAACTCTAGTTAGTCAAGAAGAATATTTGTTCAGTTAATGAAGCGTGTATTTGATGGTGTGGGGGAAACACTTTATATCGAGGAAAGTGTTTACCGCCGCTATTCCCTCACACCGACGCATCTTGTTTGTAAGTTGAAGAGCTTACTGGCACACTGCAAACGCTGCTGGAAAATTTCATTTAATATTTTATACTTTAAGGCTTATGAATTTCTTACTGAAGTGATGCAGAGTTTTTTTTCATTGTCAGCAATAGGTTCTGCTGCTGATTTTGAAGATACAAGGCCATTTATAGTGAGCCAATTCAAAATGAATATTCAGGTTAAATATCATGTGAATGTTAATCGTGAAACGTGGATGTGTTGGTAGCCAAACTCGCTATGATGTGAGCTCGGTTTCTCCATCAAGTGAAAATAAATTCTGAAGCAGAAACCTGCGCTAACATTTTTTGCTAGTACGTCGCGTATTGAAATAAAACGTGAGTTTCTGTTTATAGTAAAACTCTGTTTATGGCTCCAGGCAGTATCCTGTAAACCGCAGCGTTCCTCAGAGTCAAAGGTAACAACACTGTGAAGATTGAACGATCTTTTGTAAGTCGGGCTGAAGAAAGGGGGGAGAGCTTAAATCAATTGTTTATGATATGCAATAAATAGTTGTACGAACTGCAGTGAACGTGGAGCGATTCTAAGATGTCGTGACGCATGCGTGACGTAGCTACAACCACCTGTAGCGGTGCAGGAGCAACAAGTGGGCGACGTCTGAGTGGATCAGAGACCGCCCCCGCTGTATCATGATTCCAATCCCGTCTTTGTGTAAAAAATAACCTGACTAGCTTCACATGTTTTAAATGGTTGAAAGCGTCAGGTTTACCCTGCAATAAAATGTATTCATTGTAAATTTTTTAAGCTAATTTTATTAGCTTCCTGCCCCCATTGTGCTCAGTCAATAATTCTTGTGCAGTATATACGTTAAGTTAAGCTCCACAATGACTAGTTTATACACTGCAATCACACTTGTGTAGTGATCGCATTAACGGGACTGCTTCATTGCTTGTGATATTGTGCCACGTCTCCTATTATTGTTATTAGTGTTAATAATAATAAATAATAATGAATAATATTCATTGAAGGGTTTTAGAACATGATTTCAATCGGCAGATATACGTAAGAAAGCTTTGTTATTCACTAGTACCACTACCAGGCATATGGATTCTAGTCAGTCAGCGTGGTCGACGGTATCTGAGTTCATCGTAATTCATGCTGCATTTATTATACACCCTTTCAAGAAATATAAAGCTAGCCATTGGTTGATCACAATACGAGTTCTATTAATCTCTCCATGATTAGTAAGGAAATAAAATTTCGCTAATAAGCCATCGACAGGCTCAATGATTTATTATTTTGATGAAAATTAGGGGGCCAAACTATATATAATTTTCCAACACTTTCAGCCAAAATTGTGCAACAGTTAAGGGGTACACATGCCCATCATGCTGGTCAATGCCCGAAGCAGAAATGTTTTAAACATTGAAACCAAATCTTGTATCTGGGATAATTGACACCGTCAACATATGCATGATATGCTCTGAATTTTGTCTGTGTTAGTCTGCAGCGTTTGTTATGATGAATATTTTTGAACACGTGTGCGTCCGGGCGAGCCAAATTGGAATAGTTCATGCAAGTTCACTCGTCCATTTACTCTTTCCTGTACAGTGACTCGCAGCGTAGGAAGCCACGCATGGAGTAAGCCGACACCGCGCATTGTTCCAAATGGTAATCTGGCTCCCCTTAGGAGACCAGAACGCGTTATTCCTCCCCAGTCAGGCGTTATACGCCAAAACATCCTTTGCATACTGCCCCCAATTCAGAATTATAGTCCTTGCCACGCATCCAAGATCCCTGCACTGGACGCTACTGGGTTCTCTAGTTTGAGAGATGCTCTATTAAAATTATTTGCCCTCACAAATTTCGTGTTTATAATTATTTGTGCAACGTAATAATGTTGGTTTGTGATAGATGTATATCTGCCCTATTCGTTTCGATTGCCATGGAATCAAACAAAATTTATATTACCACGTCTCTGTAGTTATGCTCAAGAATTGCTTCCATTCCTGACAACCCTGACTTTGGTCAGCACGGCGCTCAGCCTTAACCCTGACTTTGGTCAGCACGGCGCTCAGGCACAACCCTGACTTTGGTCAGCACGGCGCTCAGGCACAACCCTGTCTTTGGTCAGCATGGCGCTCAGCCACAACCCTGACTTTGGTCAGCACGTCGCTCAGGCTGTCGCTCTATTGATCTTCAGCTGAGCGCACTCGCCAGGTCATCGGCAGGGACCTCCCATCGTCCGCCCCCTCACCCCAAGCTGTGTCATAATAAAAATTATTTAAGCTTAAATGAATTAAATAAATTGCTCTGCTTATTTCTTTGACTTCAAACTGTTTGTTTCGCAATCGCAAGTGTGCGTTTTCAAAATTGAAATCTTGGTCAATATTTAAAGCTGGACGCGACAAGACTAATTGTTGACCGTAAGGCGTACAGTTTTTGGTTCCCAATTAGAAAAAATCAGGAGTAAAGTGAAGGTGAATTACGATTATTGTTTCCTTGTTTTGATCAGATATTCTATAAATTTTATGCACTGGCAAACGATCGCACGTGAATGTCGTATGTAGGATTAACCTTAGATATAGTGTTGAAAAATACTCTTATGAAATAAAAATTGCAAATTTTTGTGAAGAAATCAAACGTAATTAAATTCATTGCGAACAGAAGAAATTGAAAAGATTTCAATAAAGAAATCTTGTCATATAGTTAGAACATGCATGAAATTTACCCCCACTGCTTTTTTTCGCGAATTTGACCTTGTGTCAGGTACAGCCGAGGGTTCAGCTTCAATGCTGCTGCGTCTCGAGGGGAGTTGAGGGTGTATGAGCCACGCTTATACACCCACGAAGATTCAATTCTAAAAAAAAATAATTGTATATGAATTCAAACTCGACTAAGACATTTCTGTACGACTTTATATCGTTACTTATCATTGTAATAATGGTGCCTAGCTCCTTGAGGTCAATCACAATGAACAGCGTAAAGCCACGCTCTTCAAATACTGAATGCCAAGGGCACGTAACAAGCAGTGATGCAATCCATGCTGCGTGACCAAAGATTGCTATTTGCGATTAATATATTGCTAAAATTAATTATTGCTAAGTGAATTATTCATTATTATAACATTTGTTATTATTAATTGTTATTAAATTTATATATATATTATTATTACATTTTTATTGATTGATTCATTTTTAATAAATTTTTAAGTATTAATTATTATTAAATTTTTTATCATAAATTATTAATATATTTTTACTTATAAAATATCATTACATTTTTAATTTAAATTAAGATAAAATAATCTTTTCTTCCATTGCATTAATAGTTTGGCGGAAATACAATAGCTGTTTTATATCTCAGGCGGTACCCGATCATTTATAATTACTAATTTGATACCGGACAACTAAAAATAAGATACGGCATATTCTAGAATGGAAGCCCCTCTTTCAAGCTGTAATATGAAGGCTCAATTCAAAAAAATATATATATTGTATATAAATTCAAACTCGACTAAGACATTTCTGCAGGACCTTATGTCGTTACTTTTCATCGCGAGAATGGCGTCTAGCTCCTTGAGGTCAGTCACAATGAACAGCGCAAAGCAACGATCTTGCATGAATTAACTGGTAAAGATACTACAAAATTGAGGTAAGTCCGCTATTGTCTCCGAGATGATTAAAATGTTTTATGTTCCTTAAGCTATAGAGAACATTTAGAAAAGGTCTGGAAAGAATTATAACGAAATCTTTCACGAACTTTTATCTTTAATTTTTTGATAAATGAGTAAAATATTCAAGTAGAAGCCTTACAATTTATTCGTTCTGAAACCCAAACGGTCTCAAGTTAAGTTGTTTGTATGGGTCTTTTGTGCCCGTAACGTTGTCACGAGATGCACGCAAAGTCGTCTACAAGCAATCCAGTTTTGCGGCAATCTTGGTTTGCGTAATTGAGTCTTCGAGGAATCGATGGAGCGCCGCTCCTGAGCCCTCAACGGTCCTTTCCTCCTTCGCTCGAGTCCTGCTACTCAAATTTAGTCGCAATTTGAGTCTTGCTCGAGACGAGGCCGAAGAGACTCACCGAGATCCCATACAATTGAGATCTTCGGCGGGGCTGGTGGGGACCAGCCTTACAATTGGGATTACCGGAGGGTTGGTAGCCAACATTTATATTGGGATGATCGGAGGGTTGGTGGAGGCCTGCTTTCCAAATGGGATCATCGGAGGGTTAGGGAAGCCATCCGCTTCATATTTTTCAAAGATTATCGTCAAGAGCATCGGAAAATATATCCCGACTCTAGGAGCAAGGTTGTCCATATCCATTACTTCATCCATTAATATTGTGCAAGAAATTGAATGGAAAGAAAATTCCAACGTATTTTTTCTCAACATATTACAAAGAATTAAACGTATTTTCATTGAAAATATAGCCATATTTTTGATATGCTTTTGAACAGATCTCCGCAGAGTTCCCAATGAAAACATTCATTCAACAATTTTTTTGTTTTTATATTATTGTTTAATTGACGATATAAGTAAACCAAAGATATTAGCAATATAGTGTAAGAATTTGGTTGCAGCAGCTATAATGTTTTCTCCTGTTTTTGAAGATTGATTAAGGTTTATATTGAATATATTTAGTGAAGATGTTGGCTGGGCTCCCTAGAATACAAATGTTTTAGAATTTACCTCAAAAATTAGCTGAATATTAGAAAACGATGATCGTATATCGGTTTGTTTTCTATTCAAATTTTGTAATTAATAATGAAATTCATTTTTTCAGAGACATGCGAATCTTGTGCCATAAAGTGAATTTTTCAGACAGTTTTAAATAAATTTCAATTTTTTGCAATAGTACATTTATAAAGTGATTTTATAAACCTTCTATCTACAATGAATGATCCCAGATATAGTCGATTTCATTAGAAAATTTCTTGATCTCACTTAAACGAAGACAGGAGCTTTTGTGAGTGTTTTTCTATCTACTTTTCTTCAAGAAATGTGAAGAGTGCACTCTTCAATCTGGCCGAATTAAACGATAAGAAGGCGTCGCCCAAGACCAGGCACTCTTTGAGGAAGAGCTTCAAGATCATCACAATGTTCAGTAAATTCTCTAAAGGTTCCGCTGGAGCTGTCAGCGGGAGCCCGCTAGCAGGCGGAGGTGGAAGCGACCCTGGCACTGGTAGTCCTGTAGGAACCAGTGGAGCAGATGCAGCAAGTGGTTCGAAAAGGGCGATGACTCCTTCAGGAGGAAGTGGTCCTGCATCCTCATCTACAAATGTAACTCCTACGCAATCCTTCGTGCCGAGCACTAGCACCAGCGGCGTGGTACAGCGGACTGCGGCTAACGGATCGACGGCCTCTGGAAGCTCGAGTTCCTACGCCTCAGGAGGCTCGTCACTCTTCAGCAAGCCTAACGGCACTACATCTTCCACTCCCCAGGCGGGACCCATCAGTGGAGGCATGAGTGGCATGATGAGCAGTGGTGTGATGAGTAGCATGATGGGCAGCAACAGTAGCGGGCTCCCACCCATGGATAAAGGACCTCTTGCCCAACAGTACGAAGTGGGCAAGCTTGTTGCGAGCGGGGGACCGTCATTTGTATGGAAGATCTACGAAGCATATCGAAAGTCTGATGCCAAGGTAAGAAGCATAACTTCTTTGTTTATTTTTATTTATTAAATAAATTTTGGTTAACTTTTACTCTTGTGTACTCGAAATGAATACAGGAACATAAGTGTACATATTCCATCACGATGAACGCAATCGAATTTTCTGGTGCCTCGTGAAAGCATCACTGTGCGTTCGTAAAGAAGTTCCGTGAACGCTTACGTTTCTTTGAACGACAACTGGACGGCTCATCCAGACAATAAAGCGTTTGAACAATTTAAAAATTTCCAAATAGAATTGAATTCTGTCCTATTCTGTCCTTGCAGAACGTCATTTCCTTGAAATGCACTTTATATAATCCAGCTTCAATAATTTATGTAACACAAAGTAGCGCGGCAAAAACGCGAAAAGTTGTTGATAACTTTTAATACGAGTCTGGTTGTTCAGAATAAGTCTACTTGTACTGCACCAACTCACCCCTGCTATGTTGTTTCTTTACGTCCTTGGTCCCAGCTCGATAACATTATAATTTATTTATTCTTTTTCGTTAGAAAAATTTCTTGACGAGCTGCCAGGCTGTTGACAGAAAGCATTTGCCAAATACATGTTGCTAAAAATTTATTTGCTTGAAGCGTACAGTTTTTCATGGGCTTCTTGTGTGAGATATTGCTGTGGTTATTATGTTCTTTGTCAATGTGTTGAGGTATTTATCGTGGGGGCTTTGGAGGTGCTAGGTCCAATGTCAAACGCGCCAAATGTTGTGTGCGGGTAAGTTATTACTTATCGATTCCTTGTTTGATGTGATGGCATTACTGCCTATTCATTTATTAACGAATTTGTCAATGTTTACAGTGTTTATATGCAAGTGTTTGCGTTTGCTAGTTTTTTATTCATTAATCTGTAAGACTTTCAGGAAAACCACATAGTTTCTTCACTCGGGAAAGTCAACAACAATCTTGGAGGGAGTGCAAGAGAATTAAAGACTCGACTTAATTCGCTCAAAAACTCATCCGAGCAGTTTATTGGATGCAGCGTGCAACAACACGTGCTCTAATCAATTAAAGTGAGTCGAATAATTTTACTTGGCTGGTATCGACCGCTGCGCACTTCCGTGTTGGTGCAGTCATTAGATCTAATGGCTTGCGTATAGCGGCTCGCGTGAGTCTTGAGGAATATCACCTTTGCTTGCTGCGTCGACACTTTAAAGTATAAGTTAATTAAATTAATTGCTCCAACTTCATACCCAATTAGATGTCCTAGAATTTTCCTTGTTTCCTGCGGCAAACCACTTTTCAACTCAAATTTTTATGTATTTAGTTAATGGCTTCACCTGAATAAGTTTATCCCACGATCAAAGACAATTTAAACTAAAAATATTAATTAACTACAATATGTCTCATATGACTTAGGAACCATATATTTTTTAACGGTGGATTACACAGTAGCAAAGTTTAAAGCTATAGGAGGCAATTAAACATGGTTTCACATACAGAATCTTTTAATAGATGCAGCTTTTTCCTGGTAATTATTGAATATTCAAGTTCTAGATGACGGTTTAACTTATTTCGTTTCAATTTATTACAGTTGCACACTTCCATCGACTTTACCTTCGAAAAATTCTTCATTTTGTTTGTACATACGAATGGTTCATTGCACTTTCCATAGAAACTCAAACAAATTCATTGAAAAGAGCAAATTTTCAGAAATTTTTTCAAAAGAAATCTTTTTCTTTATTTGACTCGTTCGTGCATAGCAGCGCACGCCATATGTACCACAGAAAATTTGCACACGTGATCTATGCAATGGTCACTAACAAGTTTCAACATTTCGAAACATTTTCGAACGAAACATATTAACATTTTTCGACAATTCCATTATGTTTCGTTATAACGTATTTCTCTTCTAGAGCACTAATGACGAAGGCGCTCAGAATTATAACCAACATTTCTTCGTGACCCAACTAAAAGTTTAATGACGAGGTTTCCTCGTTCGCTCAAGGATAAGTTTTGTTTAAAACAACTGATAAGTTACCAGCAGCCGTCCAATATAAAGTTAAGCTCCCTCACCTCGCTTATAATTAGTATGAGAACAAACGCGTATGTGTCAAAACTTTCGGTTCGCTTATGACTGTTATGAGAACAAACACGCCTACGTCAAAACGCTTTACTCGCTTATAATTTCTGTGCGAACAAATATGCGATGTAGAAACGCTCGACTCGGCTGTGACTTTTATTAGAGCAAACATGCATTCATCGAGAGCTGCAACTGCGACCGAGCGCGACACTCTATTCTCTTGACGCAAGTTTTGGCGCACCCCGACACCTGGGATTTGCTAGCACATTTTTTTCGTAAACTTTGGAGAATAAATTTACGGTAAAAAATATCCTTTCTACACTAATTGGCTTACTTTCGCTTCCCCAAACATTGATTGTTTTCTAACTTGATAACTGGAAAACGAAATAGGCTTTTTTCTCTTGTTCAAGCGATGAATTGGAGAAAGATAACTGAAAAAACACTGCTCAAAAGACCTTGTTAAAACAAAAATTATCAAGAATGTATCTGTAGATGTTGAGTTTTAAATTATTTTTTAACAATTAAACTCATTTATAAATGAGTAAAAATTTAAATTAATTGGAAATTTAATTTATAAATAAATTTTAAAATAATTAACACTTCAAGAAACATGGACCGCCTATATAGTGTTTAATTGTATTTGTCATGATCCTTTAAGATGTGAAGCTTTGGCAAAAGTTAAAGTTTTAGCGGCATTCCGTTATTCTTACATATATCAATAAACCTCGGAGAGACCCGAGCACTTGAAAAAGTATGACAAAAAGAGATATATACACAATGAATATTTCAACACGATTTTTTTTGATGCACTAAAGGTTAATCCAGCACTTCTACCCCTACTAATGCCAGAAGAAGCGCACGGCCCGGGAGTTAAAGTTGATGTAATTAGCCGGCATTGTAGGCACCGGCATTGACTTCAACATTTGCACAACTTCTTCAATCAATCGCAACTTAGTCCATCCGTCTTCTTCGCCGGCTAACACTTCAGTCTCGGGTGACGTGGCATCAGATCAATTTCTTCTTGGCAGTGCCTTTTATTCTCCAATGAATAATGGTTTAATTTCTGTCCTGGGTTTTTATTCTTCCCTTGCAGCGCTCGATTTCTTCAGTGATTAATTGCAACGTGAATATTTTCTTGCAAGTATTTGCCTCGTGATGGTAATCTAATACGGATAATTTTCCAGCACGATGATTACGATGTTACATATTTTTATTATTATTTGACATAATGTATGTGTATGAGGAGAACAATAAAAATAATCCTAACTCTACTAGAGAAGCGGTGAACTTAATACCATTGCAATTACAGCTCAAGTTATCTTCTCAAAAGTAACTTATATTCTCAGATGTACAGTTTCTTAGCAATCAGCAATAAACAAAAAGAACTGTTGAATTTCTTTGGCTGGAAGCCTGAGGCAACAGGGTCAGTAATTGCGGTCATTAATGACCGTAAACTGAGGCTATAGAAGACATTATCTCAGAACACGACAGAAAACAGTTTACCCTGGCTGATGGCGGTCACTTGTTGCTGCCACTGGAACGGAGGGGGGAGAAATTGCGACCACGCAATCCATGTAATAATAATCAAAAAGAATAAATAGGAGAGTGAGGTCGACGCGTTGTCTTGAACTGATTGGAAGTTTATTGTCCTAAACTGGGTAACAAATTTTAAAAATTCCAATTCTTGAGACCTGACGTTTTGAACAAGGATCCTCCATGTGCATTCCTGGGAAAAAGTCACCGAAAAAACGCATTTTAAAGTTTGAAAGTCGATCTCTTCTTTAATGCTTTCATATATATAGCGCCTAACCGAAGCGCTCGATATATTGAAGTTATTTGTGTCTCAAGAACCGCTTTCTTAGTCACATAGGGCTAATAAAAATCAAAATTTTGGCGCTTGCGCCACTCATGACTTAGGTAAATTTTAGTATTATGAATAAATTTTTAAACAGTTAACACTATTATGTTGTCTCGGCGTTGTACGGTATGGACTATTCTTGCAATTTAGGAATCACGTCTTTTCATATCCCCCCCGTAATCCAAGGAAAAAGTTTATAATTTTGAAGCTGAAGTATCATTTTTAAAGAGAGACCAGTGCCAACCCCGCAGTGACCAGGGGCCTTCCCTTCGAGTGCCTTTTTGGAATTTAATGGAAAAATTAACTTATAAACTTTTTATTTATTAAAAAAATTACAGTTAGGTATAATCCTAATTGAAAATAGTCACTAAATTATGAATTCCTATTCGATATTTGAATCTATCTTTCTCCCCAGTCTTCCTTGTCTGATGATTCCACCACTAAAAAAATTCAATTTACCTGTAATTTCCAGCCACGAAACTTATTACAAAGCTAGTTATCTTTCAGTACATATTTTTGCGGTACCAGGCTACAAATATGCAGACTTTGATAAAGATATATTGATTAAATATATACTGCAGCTGTTCGAGAAATTGAATAAATTTCAAGCATAAAATAATGATAATTCAGACGTCCGCTCCAGTGGCATTAGTCTATCCGCGTCACGACCCTGAACGTTCCGGTACTTTATTGCAATTTGAAAGTTCAAACTTTGATCAATTTTGCAATATTTCAAGTGAATGACCATAATTTATCCAGGTGACGTTTAAAGTGTTCAAATAAATTGGATATTAGACGTTCTTACAAGGGAATTGAATTTATTTTTCGCAATAAGGGACTTAAATGTTTTTTGGAAATTTATATTGGCAGTTTCAATTAGGCATTATTTGTCTGGGACCTCCTACAATATACTTTGGCTTGGAACTTAAACTCCGGCATGTTCGATGAATCGTACTCGAATTACTCCATGTATACTTTGTGTCACATGAAAACATAATATTAAATTGACGATAACTCTCCATCTCATGTTGAGTATGATGGGAGTGTGGCTAAGTTTGAATTTGTTGGGGACAGTTTACGATTTGTCGTCAACGTCAGTTGC